TTGCATACATGCTCTTTGGGGGTTTAGGGTTCCGGGGTTTAGGGTTTAGGGCTTAGGGGTTTAGGGGTTTAGGGGGTTTAGGGTTTCGGGTTTAAGGGTTTAGGGTTTAGTGTTTAGGGGTTTAGGGTTAAATTTGGGTTTGCCGTAGGTCATATCAGCACCCCCGCCAAGAGAGGGTATTGGGCTATTATTTCTGCACTGCACGCTGATGAAGAATGCAGCGCCGAGCCGTCTCCGCTTCTGGCAGAGTGCCACGAGCAGCGCAGGCTGCAGCATCCTAGGGTTCAGGGCTTAGGGCCCAGGACCCTCGTAGAGTTGTTTGGGTTTAGGCGGGTTCTACGAAGCCCTGAAACCTAAACCCTAAACTCTAAACCCTAATCCCAACTCTACGAAGCCCTGAAACCTAAAGCGCTCGAAAACTATCAGTCGACCCTGCCTCTCCGGTAGGATGGGGGCTATCGAAGTAAGGTTTGGTCAAGAATTAGCCGTTTTGACGAGACTATGCCCGGCTTCTTTACAAGCAGATCTCAGAAGCATAGGGCTCATGGGGTTTGCAGTTTTCTTTTTCAAGGTTTTTTATTCGTTTTAGGGTTGCGGGCTTGGGGTCAGGGGTTAACCTAAACCCTACACCCCAACCCATGTATTGAGAGTCCCTTGAGTCCCTCAGCGCTGAGACGGTCCTGAGAGGCAGTAGGAAAGTTGCCGTTGGGGACATGCACCGTGCCTAAACAATGCCCGACACCCGACACCCTAGCCCAAAGCCGTTGAAGCTGATCCTTCGAGGAAGGTTTAGGGTTTAGGGGTTTAGGGGTTTAGGGGTTTTGGGTTTAGGGGTTTAGGGGTTTAGGGCTTAGGGCTTAGGGTTTAGGGTTTGTCTGCTTAGTAGTTTATCTGCTTGCCGAGGAACTCTGGGGGAGACATTGGGTGTTCATGTCGCTTTTTTGCACAGATGCCTCGGCATCTCCCGGTAGCCGGTGTATTCTCTTCAGTTGGCTGATAGAAGCCTACCCCGAACCCCTGAACCCCGAAGCCCCTAAACCCAAACCCTGAACCCCGAACCCCTAAACCTAAACCACAAACCCTACACCGTAAATCCCAAACCCTAAACCCCCAAGCTCCCTAAAAGCCGAAGACAGAACCCTTTAAAGGATCCCTGAAAAGAAGCCAAAGCCGCGAGTCGCTCCTGTAGGTTGCGCAGCAGCTGCTGAAGATGTGCCCAGAGCTGACCTCAGACTTCCCTGTACTTACTGTTGATGATGTAAATCCTGCATTACCTTAAGGACCCTATAAACTATGGGAATTATGGTATATTCCTTATTATGGGTAATGCAGGCTTTGGATCATCAACCGTAGTTCCCCAACACCCAACCTATACACTTTTTGGGTTCTGATATCTTAGTAGTAATTTGAAAGTTTAAACTTCTATTTCCATGGCTCCTTGGGGAAGCAAGTGTAAGGCTCCCCTTTGTCAAGGGTTCCTTGAAGGGTTCTAGAAGGGTTAGAGGTTTTTAGTACTAGGGCTCCATGTACTTTTTTTTGAAGGGTTCCTCAAAGGGCTTCCTTAAAAGGTACTGTAAGGGTTTTATTATAAGGGTTTACACGACTTCCGGCAGGCTTACGGTATAAGGCTCCATGTACCTATACAGCATATACTTTGGCCTTCAGGTGCCTATGCAGGCTTAAGTATGTACTAATAGGTACGTGGAGCCTTTGGCGCAGAGTTTCGGGCTTGGGGCTCGTCGCCTGGTTTCGTTGTTTTTCTTGGTTTGTCCGTTCCGTTTGGGTTTGGAGTTCAGGGATATTCTTCTGTTTTGTTTGTTCTATTTGGGCTTTTCGGGCCTCGGGTATACAGCATCGCGACACAAAGAGGGAGAGAGAGAGCTTATGAGGTCTCGTCTTCTGCTGATACAGAGACTCCCGACATACTGTTGATAATTTAAATCCGACATTACCTGAAGGACCCTAAACTATGGGAATTATGGTATATTCGTTGGTAATGCAAGATTTATGTCATCAACCGTACTCTACTTGACCGGTGAATCCACTGATTGTGAAAGGCCCATGTGATACAGAACCCTTGTAGCAACCCTGCATGAAATGAAAGGGAATCCGATACTATACTATAGAAACCTGAATAATATTCCTTGGGTGACGTCTACTTTGACTAAAGGAGCCCAAAACGCCGTTCTAGTTCTTGTCGGTCCGTACATTAAACCCTTGTAGTAGCCCTGTTTAGAAACCCTCATAGACTCCTTCAGCGGGAAACCTTTAACGTAGCCCAATTCTAGTTCTGGTAGGCCCCTTAACCCTAAACCCTAGTACCCTAAACCCTTTAACCCTAAACCCTTAACCCTGAACCCTAAACCCTAAACCCGAAACCGTAAACCCCTAAACCCCTACACCCCTTAAGAACCCTAAACCCTAAACCCTCGGACCCGAAAGCCTAGTACCTGAAAGCCCTTCGCAACGAGGAGCCGGCTCGGAGACTTCTGCGCGAAGAGCTTCGCTCCTGGAAGCGCCCGTCGCGTGATGCCCTGCCGATGCTGAAGGACCTATATCAGAGATTCATAAAAGTTCTATATTAGGGATCTATATGAGTTCTATATTAGGGATCTATACGCATTCTATATTAGAGCTCTATAGGAGTTCTATGTTAGGGATCCATAAGAGTTCTATACTAGGGATCTACAGGAGTTTTATTTTAGGATCTATAAGAGTTCTTCATTACCGTTCTTTTAGATTTCTGTATTAGGGATCTATGAGAGGAGTTCTATATTAGGGATCTGTATATGAGTTCTATGTTAGACATCTATATGAGTTCTATATTAGAGATCTAGAAGAGGAGGTCTATGTTGGGGCTCTAGAAGAGTTCCATATTTGGGATCAATAAGAGTTCTATATGACGAATCTATCTGAGTTCTATATTAGGGATCTATAGGTGTTTTATATTAGGGATCTATAAGAGTTCTGTATTCGGAATCTATAAGAGGAGTTCTATATTAGGGATCTATAAGAGTTCTATGTTCGGGATCTATAAGAGGAGTTCTATATTAGGGATCTATACCGGTGGGATTGTATATTAGATCTAGAAGGGCTTAGGTGTTCAGGGATTGATGTCTAGATCTTCCAAGATCCTTGAACATAACGAGTAGACTTCATAATTTCATGCAGCATCGGCAACATGATTGAAAATTTAAAGTTCATTCCAAATCAACGGAACCAATTCTCACCTTGCTTGAGAGCTTGCTTGGACCCTTTGCGGAGTAGGCGGGAGGGCGGAGGAGCGGAGGGTGGCCACCTCCTTTTGTGCTTGATATAGCATGGTCCTCGGGCCCAACGGCCATTAACCAAGGTTCTTCAGAGCCCTCGTTTTAGGGTGGTGTGGACCTGAAGCACCTTCTCTAGCCCGAGTAGAAATGGAAACCCCGAACCTAAGCTAAAGTTCTAAGCCTAACAAGCGCCACCCGAAGCCTAATACCCAAAAGCCCTATAAAGCCCTAAGCCCCATAGAACCGTTATGGAGAACCTTATGTGACAGTAGATACTGTCCCCCCCCCCCCCAAGGAGCTTCGTGCCACAAAGCGGGTCGATCTTGTCTGCGAGTTGCTGAACCTCCTGAAAGCGGAGCCACGTCCCTGGGTTTAAAGATTTAGTTTGTAGGGTTTGAAGGTTTTTGGGCTTTATAGGTTTATAGGGTTGCGGGCTTCTAGGTTTATATTAATGTTTTGTGCAAGTTTATAGGGTTTAGGGTTTAGGCTATGTAGAGCTTTAGATTTCGGATTCACAGGGTTTAGGGATCATGGGTTTGTAGGTTTTCCAGTGGCGTATAGGGCTTGCGGTTAAGGCTGTAGAGATTTGTTCAGGCTTAAACCTAAGTGCTGAAACAGTAGGGCTTTATGTCCCCAATACTATACTCTGAACGGTTTTTGGTACCAAAAACCTCTACAGGATTAGTTGGATACTCGGACCCTCTGGGATAGGGTATGGGAGATGCCTGGGCCCACCTTACCCGGTCCACAAGGGTTTATGTATCCATATAATAGATACCTTGGCCCTAAAGTACCTATACAGGGACTACTGTAAGGCCAAAGTATATACTACTCCGGCGCGTGGACCCTTAGGGGAACGAGTCTGAAGGGGATTTGGGGTGACGGTGTAGGGTTCTGAACTTCAATGTTCGGAGGCGGGTGGGAGCGGGTAGAGTTCCTTCAGCTTATAACTGTTGCAGGTTCAGGGTTTAGGGTGGAGTATTTTAATTCTTCTTGTTGCACATGCGTCGATGCAGAGGTTTAGCTTCGGGCTTCGATGAGGTTTCCTTGCTGAACTAAGCGAGGCCCTGACCCTTAGGGTCCATGTACCCAAATAGTATATACTTCGACCCCAAAGTACCTATATAGAGACTACTTTGAAGGCAAAAGTATATACATATGTATGTATGTATATATATATATATATATGTATGTGTGTGTGTATATATATATATAATTATATAAACACACACAGACACATTATTTGGGTGCATGGACCCTTAGGGTGGAACTGCCCAGGAAGTCTCCGGTGGTCCAGCTCAGCCTACTGAGATCTCAGAACACCTGTAAAAAAAAGGCACTCTCCACACTTCAACCCCGGACACCCCAAATTCTCAAGACCTAAGCGATCTGTAAGGTTTCTCAGTCACTAAAGAATTGAATGAGTGGGGCTCTAGCGTTGGTTCAGCCTTTGACCAGCAACTGAACATATTGGTTACAGCAACACCCTTATAGAGACCCATCAAGGTGCCCTCAGCAGAGTCCTTGAGCGGAGCCCTCTTGGCCCTAAACCCCAAAAACCCTCAACCCTAAACCCTAAGCCCTAAAACCCTAAGCCCTACACCCTAAACCCGAAACCCTACACCCGAAAACCCCTACACCCTAAACCCGAAACCCTACACCCGAAAACCCTCAACCCTAAACCCTAAACCCCTTTAAACAAAAACCGGAAACCTTAAATTAAATCCCAAGGAGCCCCCCCAAAAAAAAACCGGAGACCTTTACTTTAAGTCCCAAGGAGCCAAGCCCGGCCTGCTGCATTTCACAGAGGGGATTTCCGCGTGCGCCCGCGCCACCTGGTGGTCTCAAGCCGTCGCTCCTCGGCTCTTTTGCTTAGGGGCTGAGTAGGTAACCTTGAACCTTTTGGGGGCTTATAAACCCATTATAATTTAAAAGGTTAACTTTTTTTGGGCTAAGGTACTGGGCTCTTTTGATGAGTTAATGTAGGGGTTTTGAAGGAGGAATAATTATTGCAGCATCCCCATATATCCCCTTAACAAGTCCCTATAGAATTATTCTAGAATATTCCCCCCTCCAACACCGAATTCTAACGATGAAGCTTCCTATAATATCATGGCTTTCAGGCAAGTCAAGAGACACAAGTCCCAAGCAAAGACATCCCAGACCATGCTCAAGTACCAAGGAGTCGAAGGGGTTCAGGGTTCAGGGTTTAGGGTTCAGGGTTTAGGGTTCAGGGTTTAGGGTTGGTGTGGTTTAGGATCGCGAGGAAGGCAATGATTTGGAGATCGACCGCCGGCATTTTCACAACTAGTCATCGACTCCTCCAAACACTACTCTTGCGATCTTAAATGCGTGGTTCCTCCTTATTGGGTCCTGAGCCCATAGGGAAAGACCGTCGGATCGCAACTACCTTCATGACAGACTACATCCAGATCTTCTAGTATCTCTTACTACAGAAATATATACTTCAAATTAAAGTAGGATCCCGAATATGGTTTAGGGAGAATTCCTTATATAGGGCAAGATAGAAGCCTAAATAATTACCTATATTACTGTTAGGGTCCCTGAAAGATGGACTATAAAGGAGAGCCCAAAACCGCGTTCTGATTGTTAACGCCCCTACCTGATGTGGGAGTCTTTCGGACTTCCCTGACCCGACGAGACCTACATGTTTAGGGTGTATCGTTATATGATTTCCCTATATTGCCCTAAGGGTCCATGAACAAGAAAAGTATGTACTTGGGCACTGAAGTACCTGTTCAGGGACTACTTTAATCCCGAAGTATTACGTAGATGCTTAGGGCAAGTCCTTAATAGATAAACCCTAAACCCTAAAGCCTAAAACCCCTAACCCTTAGCATCGAAATAGCCCAAAAGCCTTATATAATCGGGTCGTTGGGCCCAAAAGCCTTAACATATGAGTCCATTGAGGGTAAGCGTAAGACCTTTTCTGGATCCTAAACCCCGAAACCCGAAACCCTAAACCCCTGAACCCCTAAACCCTAAACCCCTGAACCCCTAAACCCTAAACCCCTAAACCCCTAAGATCTTTTCTGGGTCCAGGGCCGGCTCTTTGGGTTCTCTGGACAGACAAATCTTCGCATGCTGCGGAGTGGATCTGAGGCCTTCTTCCACGACTTGCCCGATGCTGCAGCTTGCCTACATGGGTTTTGGGTTCTATGATTCAGGTGTTGGGGCTTTCGGGCTTTCGGATTCGGGTTTAAGGTCTGAGGTTTCCGGATAGATTGGGTTTTCTGGATTTGCAGGTTCGGAGTTTGTGGCTTGCGCGTTCCGGGGTTTACGGGTTTGCCATTAAGGGGTGTACCCTCAAAGACCCTCTGGCCTCTAGACCCTATAAGCCCCAATCCCTGAACTTTAAATCCTAAGTTATGCAGCCTCAGGCTGATTGATTTCAAGCTTAAATGTGCAGACTTTAGGATTTCGGACTGGAAGATTGGAGTTTGGGGGAACACAGGAACCTGATTAAGAATCCTTGGGTCTGCATTAGGGCTCTGTAAGTATATGGATCCCGGTATGTTGGGGTTTCGGAAAATAAGGGGTACCTTATTTTGGAGTCGTTATAGTAAGGATCCTACTATTTAGGGTACTATATTAGGGCTCCCTATTTTCGGAAACCCCCATAATATAGGGCTCTGTATATGGATCCCGGGATCCAGCGTTTCTGAATCAGGTTCCTACAGTAGCTCCCTCCGAGCTTTCAAGGCAGGATCTGTCATCCAAGTTTCTTTGGAGGCTCAGGTAGCGCTGTAAGTACATACACTAGCGGCATTAATTGTTTGAACAGTGTCTAACAGTATAATACTTCTAAGGGATCTCAGATCTAGTTACGGTAGAACATACGCCAAAGCCTATTCCAGTTATGAAGGCTGTAAGTATGTGAATCCCACTTCGGCAGCTGCATCTTTGCCGAAGCCCTATACCCTACGTAGAAGACTTCAGCATGTCTTATGATGCTTCAGTACGGAGTTTGCTGTCAAGGCCCGGATTGCGGGATTGTCCGTCAACCAGTCTCTGAGCCATACTCAGAAGTCAGGGTTTAGTGTTTCGGTGGTGGTGTTGTGTATATAGGGATCCCTAATAGAGTACGTTACAGTAATAATATAACCCACGGCGATGTTCGAAATATATTCAGGCCTCTTTCGCAGTTTAATCCAAGGCTGTGTTGCCCGACATCGTCTGCTGCAATGCCACCCTGAGCTCATGCGCCAAAGGCACAGTCAATCGAGCACTGTTCACGGCTTGTCCACCAACCTATTCAACCTAACCTAAAACAACCAACCCTGAACCCTAAATCCTAAACCAAAGCCCGAAACCCCTCATCCGGATGTTCATCTTGTGCAACCTTCTGCACCCTGTAAACTCCTTCGGGATGCTCGGTTGGATGCAATCGCTCACCCTCAGGGTCCGAGAGCCCTACTGGCAGGGTTTGGGGGCCGCAGATACCATATTCTGAGTGGCTCGTGTTTCTGATCCCTCTGTATACATGCATCAGACATACGTACATACATGCACACACACACGCACATATGTGTATATATATATATACATATGTATATGTATATGTATCTGTATCTGTATGTGTATGTGTATGTGTATATGTATATGTATATGCATATGCATATGTATATGTAATATGTAATATGTAATATGTATATGTATATGTATATGTATATGTATATGTATATGTATATGTTTATGTATGCATGCATACATACATACATTTAGGTACATATACATACATACACACATACAATACAATGCAATGCAATGCAATACAGTTATACGATACATATACATATACATACATCTACATGCGTGAGAGGCTTTACAGGCCTACCCATAACTTACATTTATGGTCATGGGACTTATATAGTAAGTAGGGCCATGAGGAATGAGGCGAAAGCTATATCCTTGGGATTCTTTCAGGCAATCTTGTTCTGGAAGTTTGAGCTTGTTGCCCCTTCAGGTATCGGGAAGCAAGTAGATCTTCTTGTGTAATCCCTTTTAGAGTGCCTTCTAATTCCACTTATCAAACCTGGGAGGGGGTCCTTGGAATAAGGCTATGTATGGTAGGGTTTAGAGTTTAGGGTTTAGGGTTACGGGTTTGGCTGGCCTGTGCCCAGGGGTTAAGGGTTTAGGAATGGGCAGCGTTCTTTACGGTTTGCTATTGGGGTTGAGCTTTGTTAGGGTGTTATAAATCTCCACGTGCCTGTGCTGTACTTGTTTGAGCGTGAAGGCACTCCTAATAATGTACTTTACAGCCGTTGTATACATCCACTAGGTACATGGACCCTTAGCCTAAGGCTCCAAAGACTCATATTTTAAGCTTTTTGGGCCCAAAGACCATACTATGTAAGGCTTTTGGGCTATTTTGAGCCTTAGGGTTAGGCTTTGTTGCGGTAGTAGATGGAAATCGGTCGTGCAGTAAGAGAAATCCCGCCAGACCTCAACACCATATCCCCATTAGGTTTAGGGTTTAGGGGTCTAGGGTTTAGAGGTTTAGGGTTTAGGGTTTAGGGTTTAGGGGTTTAGGGTTTTGGGTTTAGGGGTTTCCTAAACCTTGCCCAGATTCCCCCCCCCCCCCCTTTATTCCTAGGGTTCAGCGCTGTAGAGTTTGTTGTTTTGGAGTGTAGGGCAGTGCGGGGCTTCAAGGTTTGCAGTTCTGTGAATTTAGACACGTGTAACCTGGAAAATTTGAAGCCTTAGGGATACCACGCGCTCTTGATTAAGTAGGCATCCTATGCTATATAACACACATTTGGCTCTTAGGTTGTAACCTTTAGCCTTTTGGGCTCATATAACCCTACTATAATTCAAAAGGTTACCCTTAAGCTCTATGGACTCATATTTGAAGGCTTTTGGGCCCAAAGACCATACTAGACAAGGTTTTTGGGCTACCCCAAGACACATGAACCTTCATGCTACACAGGCGGACAGTGGCCTCTGGCAGTGGACCTCCTGAAGTCCATGCCCACAGCGCAACTTTCGCCAAATGCAATTAGCCACTTGCCGGCAGGTTCAGGGCACTCTAGACCCTAAGCCCTACGCCGTAACTTCAGTAGATTTAGGGCAGCCGGTTTAGGGAACGAATCTGTGAGGTTCAGGTTTTTGTGTGTGGGGTTTTTTTGCCGAGATTGGGCTCCAGGTCTTGAGCCTAGCCTTGCTAGGTGTAATATAGGCGCCTTAATGGTTAGAATAGGGTTTGTATAAATATAAGAAGGAACCTAAGGAATATTGGTGATTGGGGCCCGGTGTAGTTTGCGTATAGTAAGGAAACCCCCCAAAACAACATGGTAATTATTTAGGCCCCTATCTTTGCTTTCCTGGGCGTAAGAATCAAGCTTAAGGAGATGTGTATTGCCTTCATGTTTTCTACGATGTTAGATGGTGCTTTGCCAGAGCTGCGTTAAGTTCTCCTTTGTTCGATGCCTCAGGGGTGATTTTGAAAATCACATCTGCTAACCACAGCGAACCCCGAAGCCCAGACCCAAACACTGCACTTGTTCAAAGACCTGAAGTCCCAGTGCACGCTGGGCACTCCTGGCTCTATCAGACTTTTCGAGATCTTTTCAGCTGGCTTAACTACTCTACCCATGTCGGAAAGCTTGACTGCGTTGACATCCACTTCAAGGGTAATCTAAGGGATTGCAGCATGTTGTGACCCTACATTCGAAACCCTCCACTGCCTCAACTTCCAGCACGATGTTAGAGCCTTGGGGCAGCGTTAGGGCGCAGTCCTTCTAACAACATAGGCCCCTGGTTAAGAAACCGCTCCCTCTTAACGGTATGGCTTGTACAATAGAAATCCCAATACTAGAATTACTAGAGCCTTTCAAGAAAGGATTTATGTTTCAGGTGTCTACATGGACTGTGCTGCAATGCGGTCTCTTTATCCTACCTAGGCTACAACTCCACCATCACCGCATGCGAGAAAGCCGGGAAGTGGCAGCAGGTCGCTTGTGCTTGTCACGGTTTCGGGTTTAGGGTTGTGTTCAGGTTCAGGGGCCTGGAAACCCAGGGCCTGTGGACAGTCGTGAAAAACCTACCTGTTGAGATCACGGGGAGCGTATGTTTGGCTCACGTTGTGTTGTCGCGCTAGAAGGCCGGACCTATAAACCCCAAAGCCCCGAAGCCTCCTGAGACCTGAATCACTCATCCACAAAGTCTCAAATCCTAACCACTTCAGACTCAAGCCTTTCTTTTAAACCGATACATTGCTATAGAAATGAAGCTCAGTACAGGCATTGCTGCTCTTCTCGGCCCTTCCACGGGCCAAGCTCGCCCCCACCATCGTCACTTTCGGCTCCGTGACGCTTGCCTCTGAAGTCCCAAACCATGAGGGTCCATCGATTCCCGACGATGGGTCCGAGCATATGCAAGGGGTTCTTGTGAGGGATCCGTTTTGTGTGCGCTTAGGATCCCTTATCACCGCATAACGGTTGCTATATGTGTTACCTCATTCGTATAACGTTGGCCCTCAAATGGGGTGCCTGTATAGCTACTTGAGGGCATTGTGTATTCTGTCTAGTTGCACGAGGCCTCTAGACCACAAAGCGAATCCTGCTAAGACCCTATGCTAAGCCTTTGTAGAGCCCTTAATGGATTCAACCCTTCTAGTACGTTCAAGGGAACCAAATACAACGCCTGCAAGAAAATCGTTTTCGGCTAGTAGTACTCTTAGGGTTTAGGATCTGGGATTCAAGTGTTCGGCTTTGGGTCCAGTTTCTCTTAAGCATGGAGGTTGTGAGGTTTTAGGATTTTGGGTTTGTTTTTAGGTTTTCAGGTTTCAGGACCGATCGTGTTGAAGGCTCACAGACAAATACTATGAGCGCCAAAGGAGCCTCAGAGGTTTAGGGGTTTATTCGGCTTTGGGGTTTGGGGTGTAGGGTTTGAGGGTTTAGCCTTTAGGGTTAGGGTTTGGACATTGGGGTTTTGGAGGTTGGGGTTTAAGATTTAGGATTTTCATGCCCCAGGGTTTTATGGGGCTATGGATTATGGCTCTCAGACGACCTTGACTCAAGCCCCAACTTCCAAGACGACTGCGACGATTAGGGTTTAGGGTCTAGAGGCCTGCCAGCAGCACTATTTCTCCATGTTTTTGTTTGGTCTTTGTTTAACGGCTGCTGTGCTGCTGCTGCTACTGCTGCTACTGCTGCTCCCATGGCAGCAACCCAGAGCAGGATCACTGCCACCTCCTGATAGCCCTCATCGTCGCCCTCAGCCCTTGCTCTCCGATTCTGTGATTTGGCTGCGGAGGCACGTTCCCGAATCACAGACAAATCACAGCAAAATCACTGCCAAAGCGCAAGACAAATCACAGCCAAATCACGAGAGAATCACAGGTGGTAAGGCTCCTGGTAAGGGAATCACAGCAAACAACAGACCCGAATCACAGCCAAATCACAGAATAACTATTCCCCAAATCCTACAGCTTGCCGATCATTGGCAGTCGCAATCCTAAACGCTTGATACCCAAACTGCTCGCAACCGCACGATTTCTGTGACATTAAACTCTACCTGAACCGGGAATAACCTATACGTTCACTTAAGGCCTTATAGAAAGAAGTCCTCATAAGGAGCCCTAATTAGAAATTTTGGTTTCTTAGGATCCAGGGAACCCCCTAAACCCTAAAGCCCTAAACCCTAAGCCCCTAAACCCTAAGGCCCTAAACCCCTAAACCCTAAGACCCCTAAACCCTAAATCCTAGACTTCCTGGAAGCAAAGGGTCAGCGCCTGCGAGAAGGGAGGTCGCTGGCAGATGGCTCTGCAGATCTTCCACAGCATCCCAGGAGCCTTTGCTCTTTTACAGCAACTTCGGGGGGTGGGTTTAGGGTTTAGTGGTTAGGGTTTAGGGTTTAGGGGTTAGGGGTTAGGGTTTAGGGTTTAGGGTCTAGCAGTTGTTTTCGTTCTTTTATGGCTACTTAAATGCAAGAAGGAATAGAAGATGGACTGTTTACTACGATCTCAACCATGAACTAGTTACCTTGACGGATCCAGAAGTACATGGTACAAAGTTGTTCCTTACCGGCTTGCCTTGGCAAGACCGGCTATACATATACCTACATATGCCTATGGCGGTGACTTAAACTATGTTCTCAACCGCTCTGCACAAACCTTGACAAGCCTTGGGCTACAGTAACTTCAACTCAGCTCGCTAACACCACCTTAATCCCTAATTCCGGTACCGCGATGCCC